GGTCGACTCTGAGGATCCCCGTGTTGTGGAGGGTGGAGGGAGGGAATTGTGGGGGGAGGGTGAAAGGATGGAAGGGTGGAGGCAACCTAGGCGACGCGTTCGTTGGAACGTCACCATGGCCGCAGTCGGGGGATGGCAAAACGAGGGGGGAAAGGGGGAAAACGCGGCGGGGTGGGACGGGAATTGGAACAGGGCAGAGGTGCCACCCACATTCTTGTGGGTCTGGGTTCAATTCCCAGCTGTCCCGTACTGACCCATGATACATACACACATTTGTACGAGAATGCATGAGCACACGGATGGTGGGGCACACACATTCACACGCAAAGGACGGAGGGAGGGAAGGAGGGAAGGCCAAGGGAACGCAGGGGACAGCAGAGGGGAAGGCACAGGATGGCAGAAGGGAGGGCAGATGGAAGGGGAAGGGAGGATGATGGGAGGGAGCGTGGAGGGAAGTGGGGGGGATGATGGAGGAAGGGTGGAGGAAGAGTGGGAAATGGTATTGTGGAGGGATTATTGAGGGAGGGTGGAGGGAGGGAGGGAGGGAGGGTGAAATGATGGAAGGATGGAGATGGAGCGCCATGTCTCCCATAGTTCACACCCCGAAGGAAAAAACAGCCACACGGCTCTATGGGGCCGGAGGCCTCAGTGTTATTAGCATATGCATCATTCGCGCCCACACGAATCCCCCAGGGTCCCTGTCGTATTTAAGTCATTTAGCCGGCGGCTCCCCCGTTCGTTTTACTGGACATTCATAGGAGAGTCATCACACACACATAACCAGCAGAGACACACAAACGCGCGGCACGCTAAAACCCGCCATCAAGCCTATAATTTATGTAACTTTTGGAGAGACATCCCCAGACTCCCGGATGGGCAGTGGCAGGTGTTGTGTCGTGTGCGGGTTTTTTTTTAATTGTTTGGATGTTGTGCACACAACACATGGGTGAGGGGCTCTTGCTGTGATGTTTCGTCTCACCCCACAGCCTTCACCACACAGCCTCTGGGGGTCAGTTGTTTTTTTCAAACACGCCACGTGACGCCACCACACGCCGCCCTGATTCATTTGGAGGCCACAATATCCCAATGTGTCAGAATGTCTCGACGATGCCGGGGTTATGGGGGATGCATTTGCAATACGTCCAAAGCATGATATACACGTCGGATGCATGCAATGTGGTATGGGATGTGGGGTACGTTTAGATTCTTTATATGGGACAGAGGGCGCAGGGTCGTCCAGCTGTGGAGGGCTGGAGAGAGGTGCCGTGGGGGACTCTTTTTAACATCTTTTACACAAACGCTTTTGTGGCGTTTTTGTGGGTAGGAATGCATGTGTTTTGTCTTCTCCCACTTGTGGTGGTGTAAGTTGTTTTGAGCCACACCATCCTGTGGCGCGCAAGCGAGATTTTGTGCGCACGCAGCTGCAGCTGCGTGTGTGCATGTGCATGCATGCGCTCGAACTGCATATTCGTTGCCGACCCGTGGGTTTTCCTCTGCCCCGACGACGCCCTGTGGCGCCCTGCTTCCCGTATGCTAGTTTTAGCACGTGTGGAACAACTTAGGGCAGAACGATAGGTGTGATGGGAGCGACAAGCAAAGCTGTCGTGCTCAAATGGAGCGCGCTCAAATGGATGTTCGGCGACATGTTGACAACGCCACACACAAGCAACTCCACAGACTAAAGCGGATGATGCGCATATAGACGTGTACATGATTTTTGAGGACATGACCTGGTGTATGGTCCCTTTCCTCTAAGCGGCCGCACAGCCACGGGCGGCTAATGTCCGGACACACCATCGAACATCAACCGCCTGGCAAACTGTGCTTAATCAAGCAACATAGCATATCAAAGTGCGGCATCCTCGATATGCATTCGATTACAGCGCATACAATGTCGAAAAAGCCGACAACAACTCAGAGCGGCACCGGCACCGGCTCATACAACGGCTCGTACAACCACTCCAACCAGCGAACAAACATTCCAAATCGCGACGCGACAGCATCTCACGCAGCTGTAATATCGTGAACAACGGAAAAGAAAAACAGCTTGTCCATTCTTTGCTTCGCATTCCGCCTGCGATTTCCATAGCTTCAGTTCCCAACGCAGCCATCAGAAACGCGACCGTGCAACGAAGTGTGTCAACGCATGTGCGGCGAACAAATCTGTAGCACCAGGCGTCATAAAAAGGTGTGAAGGCAGCGCGCACGTTGGTTGCTCCGTGTGTGTGTGCGCGTGTAGTCCGCCGCAGTGTGTACGCGACCTCCGCACCGCACCCATACATGGCTTCCACGCGATGCCCCAACCGCCCAATCGGCATATCTACGCTAAGAACCCTCATACCAAAGCCAGCACCGAGGCACGGCCCATATGTTCATGAATTAAACATAATTATTCTACCTGCTACCGTCCCCTATGTAAAAGCCCTATGGACAACAAACCATATATACCCCCCTTTCCCCCTTTTGGCAGATGGACAGCAGCAACAGCAAACCAGCATTCGTGGGCAGCGACAGGAGCGATAGCATTCATATGTGAGGTAAGGTGGGCCTGCTGGCAACACAAGAAATAGGATGCCATAGCATATGTCGTGGGGCTACCGTCAGGGGGGATGGGAAAACATTGAAGTGGAGACCGAGGTGAAGCGGGTTGGTTATGAGGGCGGGTTTCAGGGTATCACGTTGGCCCTCCCCTGCGGCCCCCTAGCCTAACGCTGTCCTCCCCTGCGGCCTCCCAGCCCAACGCCGTCCTCCCCTGCGGCCCCCTACCTAACGCCGTCCTGCCCTGCGGCCCCCCTAGCCTAACGCCGTCCTCCCCTGCGGCCCCGCCTAGCCTAACGCCGTCCTCCCCTGCGGCCTCCCAGCCCAACGCCGTCCTCCCCTGCGGCCCCCTAGCCTAACGCCGTCCTCCCCTGCGGCCCCCCTAGCCTAACGCCGTCCTCCCCTGCGGCCCCGCCTAGCCTAACGCCGTCCTCCCCTGCGGCCCCCCAGCCCAACGCCGTCCTCCCCTGCGGCCCCCTAGCCTAACGCCGTCCTCCCCTGCGGCCCCCCAGCCCAACGCCGTCCTCCCCTGCGGCCCCCTAGCCCAACACCGTCCTCCCCTGCGGCCCCCTAGCCCAACGCCGTCCTCCCCTGCGGCCCCCTAGCCCAATGCTGTCCTCCCCTGCGGCCCCCCTAGCCCAACGCTGTCCT